TGCCTTTGCAGGAACTTCCCCACCAGGGTAACTCCTATTTATCCTTGATCTTCAGCATTAGATGTTGCTGATAAAAGGGATTAATTTATCAACATAGAATAAATTTGAGGAGAGTGCCACTCCTCATGGAGATGACCTTAATCTCTACAAAGTCAAAATTTTGCTTTTTGTCCATGTGAGAATCATTTAAAATGAGAATTACAGAACTAATCAGTACATTTACATTTAGGATTATCATTTTTTTTTACTAACAGGAACCACAAATTTTAGTAAGAGTAATATACTTTACTTGTAATGTACTTTATTTGTAAAATTTATAATTTTTATATTGGTGACCTGCTTTGTTTGGGGAAAACATAGGTGAAATTTTCAAAAGATACACAATTTTGCATCGAGGTATTCATATTTTCTTTATTGCCATGAGACCACCCATGAGACTTGACCCAATGTGACTCAATCTGAGAAAGAAAAAGACCACATTATCAGCTAGTTGATATTTGAGATAACAGTCAATAAATCACAAATAGAGATTGAATAGTATAGACTGATGTAAGCATGAAGACAAAATTTATTTTTAAAAAATACTCCTTATAACATAAGAATAGAAGAATAATTTAAGGAAGGTAGAATGTGCCTTTTAACTTATTCAGTTAATTTAGCTTTTATTTAATGTGATCAAAATTGGAAGCAGTAGTGTTGCATATATTTATAAAGTAAAAACAAAACAAAACAACCCGATGTTCTGATTCTATGTTGCTTTCAGTATAGTGATCTATGCCTTTTATACAAAGGTCTAACTAAACCTTAACTAATTTAAAGACTTATGTGACAAAAGACAGAGCAAGTTAAGGGGAGGGTTGTTGAGATCAACAGAGTAATACAATAATCAAGAAACTGGGCAACCTTCAATCAGGCATGACAGTGTGGGTAGGCTTTAGCCTCTCCCATGACTGACACATTGTGTCTAATAAGAATTTTTTTTCCAGCCTTCTCCTTTGTTCCTGCCCCTTTCAAAAACATAAAAATATAGTTGAAAACAATCCTATGCATGATAAAGATAGAGCACTACTACAAAACAGGTAAAATATGCATAATCTGAAAATGTAAAATCTGAAATGTTGCAGAATTCAAAAGTTTTTGCGCTGTCATAATACTACAAATGGATGATGAAGCTGCCATTGTTAGCAGTGAAAGAAAAGTGCCTATAGAGGACGTGGTGAAAATGTGTGATGAATTTATTGAAGAACTAGAGCATAGTGTGTTCATAACAGAGAAAAAACTAATTGTCCTTGTGCAATTACAAGTATTCTGTTGTCAAAGAGAATCTTATTTTACCATGGGAACTCTATCTTCTAGAATGTATTTTTGTGTGTGTGTGTTGGAATCTCACTCTGTCACCCAGACAGGAGTGCAGTGGCCGCTCCCGGCCACCGCAGCCTCCACCTGCTGGGCTCCAGCGATCCTTCCGCCTCAGCCTTCCAAGTAGCCGGAACTACAGGCGTGCGCTACCACGCCCGGCCGATTTTTTGATTTATTGTAGAGATGAGGTCTCGCTGTCCAGGCGGGTCTCGAATCCACGGGCTCAGGAAATCCACTCACCTCAGCCTCCCAAAGGCTCGGGATTACAGGCTGAGCCACCGAGCCCGTCCTAGAATATATTTTAATGAAACATATCCTTAACTTCCATATTGTAAAATTGTTCCCAGCTTTATTGAAGGATAATTGACAAACAAAATTGTATGCATTTAAGGTGTACAATGTGACCATTTGATATACACATACATTGTTAGAATATTACCATCATCAAGGTGATTAACACATCCATCTCTTTACATAGTTTGTGTGTGTGTATGATTCAAACACTGAAGGCCTACTATCTTTTCAAACACTAAGTCTACAATACAGCAGTTTTTACTGTAATCACTATAATCACTATACTGTACCTTAGATCAGAGGTCTCCTTCTCCTGGGCTGTGTAAAAATTGTCTTCCATGAAACCAGCCCCTAATGTCAAAAAGGGTAGGGACTGCTGCCTTAGATTCCTAGAATGCATTTATCTTGTGACTGAAAGTTTGTGCCCTTTGACTAATATCTCCTCATTCCCACCATCCCAAGTTCCTACCAGCAACCATTCTATTCTCTGCATCTGTGAGTTTCACTGTTTCAGATTTCACTTGTAAGTAAGCTCATGCAGTATTTGTCTTTCTGCATCTGGCTTGTTTCAGCATAATATCCCTACTGACCACCACTGACAAATAAATATAGTAATGTAGATTACCCCCATCTCAAATCTAGCTATGGAAAGAAAAGATCATTAGTTTTGATCATTGTACTTTTGCTAAGAATATTTAAATGAGAAAACATTAAGCAAAAATAGATTTCACCACATTGTGTTTGACAAGCAATTCAATACTTAATTCAATAAAATAGCTTGTTTTTAAAAAAACCAACTCATTATATAAATTTCATATTTACTTAGGTTTAGAATAGAATATATTTTGAAAAATGAAAAGATAGGTATATGAGCAGGAAGAAAATTTTAATTGAGAATAAACTGTATAAGTAGACTTTGAGACAAAGTGCATTTATGATTTGGATTAACAAAGTAGTCATTGCTTCATATTCCAGAAATATAGAAACATCACACTAAAATGATTACTGATTCTAAATTTAAAGACTATTATATTTATATACATTAAATGGGATACAAGTAGATTTTATCACAAAGAAATGGTAATGAAGTGAAACATGTATATATATTTTAAAGAAACTTTAAAAGATTTTAATACTTGAAAAATTAATATTTTTATGAGACAAAAGATGCAAAATAGCACTTTATTTTTATAATTTATTTTCTTTAACCAATCACTTTAATACCACACATTATGAAATGAGAAAATTACAGTCTCAGAGATTAAAAATACAAATTAATTGCTGTGTCATATCATTTTGTATTTTTAATATATATTTGCAGTGTATTTTATATCCAGTTATTTGGAGAAATTGTGATTTTGGTTCAATTGTATAATCATATAGAACTTTTTGGAAAGAATCATATCACATTTACAAAGAATAGAAAACAAATGACAAAGCAGACAGATAAACATTCATATAAGCATGCATGATGACATTTTTAAAAAAATTATTTATTTATTTATTATTATGAAGTTGTGGGGTACAGTTTAGGGTTAGGTATACAATTGCGTTTCATTCAGGCACCCTGTTGATATGGGGTGTTTCCCCATTCCCAGACAGATATTTGCGACTGTTAATCCCATCTCCCTTCCCCCACCATAGTTTCCCAGTACTGTCAGTCATTTTCGTATAGTATTGCATTGAATGTTTAAGGTCAATTATATGAGTGAGAACATGTGATACTCGGATCTTTGTTTCTGTGAGAGGTCACTCAGTTTTATAGACTCTAGTTCCATCCAGGTTGCTGTGAAATTCATGATTTTGTTCTTTTTTATGGCTGCGTAGTATTCCATCGTGTATATGTACCACATTTTTTTAATCCAGTCCTCTTTTGATGGGCAGCATGGCTGTTTCCAGGTTCTTGCTATTGTGAACAACGCTGCGATAAACATGCATGTGCAGGTATCTTTTTTATAGAGTGATTTGTGCTCTTCAGGATATATTCCCAGTAGGGGAATTGTGGAGTCATATGGGACATCTATTAGACAGATCTCCCACATTTTTTTCCTGCTTTTGCAAGCCATTTTTGCATCCGTTGGCAGACTGTTTTGCTTTCACAAAAGTCTAACTCAGGGAGTTGTAGAACTTGCTATACCTTCTCAGTGTCTGTGTGGCAACATCAGCATGAACAACCACAACACATAGTTTGGGGCATCCATCTTATAGTCACCTTTCCTTCCTAACATGACACTGCCTAATTGTTGGGAAATGAAGTTTTACATGTCTTTCTACCCCCAGTGGACTCAAAAGAATGAGCTTGGAACCTGGAAAACTTCCTTACCACGAGATTAAACACCTTCAGTCTCATCACCTTGTTTGGAAATATCATTTCCTTTTTCATACTCACTGCGTGTTCTTTTTTTCTTAAATGTATGCGTGTTAATAGTCTGGTTCTCAGGGACCACCTGAGTCCTGGTCACAGTTCTTTCTCTGCCCCACAAGAGGGATGCACTGAGTTCCCTGTCAAAAAATACTCTTTAACCGACAAGGGCTGACTTACTCTATTGAGACGGGCCTTCCTCTGTCCCTTTATGTGAGTAAAAATTTGTTAGCCCAGTGCTTGACTGTGCTGTATTTTTCTTGGTGATTCCAATACCAAGATACAGTGAGCAGAAGAGTTTAGACTCTTCTGTTGGGAATGAAAGCAATTTTTGATGTTCTGATGGAAAATAATTTGATATACAAGTATAAATTTATAATAATATCTACTTATTCACTTACTTTTGAAAGATTTCATTCATGATCTATTCACCATAATTATGGGGCCATTAAAATAAACTAAGTTGAATTTCATCCAGAGATCCATGGTAGGTGGCTATACTCTTCTATGGAGCTTATTCATGAATGCAATATGTGTATATATATATATGTATTAGTTGGAGTCTCTGTTGCCCAGGCTGGAGTGCAGTGGCATACTCACAGCCTCCCAGCCTTGACTTGCTGGGCTCAGGCGATCCTTCCACTTCAGCCTTCCAAGTAGCCGGAACTGCCAAGTGCATGTTACCATGCCCAGCTTAATTTTTTATTTATTGTAGAGGTGAAGTCTTACCAAGTTGCCCAGGCTGGTCTTAAACCCCTGAGCTCAGACAATCCTCTCACCTCAGCTTCCCAAAGTGCTGGAATTACAGGCTTGAGCCACCACACCTGCCTGCTTTTCTTTTCATTAATAAAACTTTTTCACTCTATGAAAAAATATCTGCAAACATATGTTTATGAAAAAAATTAAAAAATAAAAATTTTCGCTAAAACTACCTAAGAAAAAACTCATATTTTAAAACCAACTTTTTGGCTCTCTGAGTGGCACCATGGCGGTAGGCAAGAACAAGGGCCTTACGAAGGGCGGCAAAAAGGGAGCCAAGGAAAGTGGTTGATCCATTTTCTAAATAAGATTGGTATGATGTGAAAGCGCCTGCTATATTCAATATAAGAAATATTGGCAAAACGCTGGTCGCCAGAACGCAAGGAACCAAAATTGCATCAGATGGCCTCAGGGGTCATGTGTTTGAAGTGAGTCTTGCAGATCTGCAGAATGATGAAGTTGCATTTTGGAAAATCAAGCTGATCACTGAAGATGTTCAAGGCAAAAACTGTCTGACTAACTTCCACGGCATGGACTTGACCCGGGACAAAATGTGCTCCATGGTCAAAAAATGGCAGACTATGATCGAAGCTCATGTTGATGTCAAGACTACCGATGGTTATTTGCTTCGTCTGTTCTGTGTTGGTTTTACCAAAAAACGCAACAATCAGATACGGAAGACCTCTTGCGCTCAGCACCAACAAGTCCACCAGATCCGGAAGATGATGGAAATCATGACCCGGGAAGTACAGACAAATGACTTAAAAGAAGTGGTCAATAAATTGATTCTGGACAGCATTGGGAAAGACATAGAAAAGGCCGGCCAATCTATTTCTCCTCTTCATGATGTCTTTGTTAGAAAAGTAAAAATGCTGAAGAAGCCCAAGTTTGAATTGGGAAAACTCATGGAGCTGCATGGTGAAGGTAGTAGTTCTGGAAAAACTACTGGGGAGGAGACAGGTGCTAAAGTTGAACGAGCTGATGGATATGAACCACCAGTCCAGGAATCTGTTTAACATCCAGGCTTTTAAGAGTGACAAATAAAAAAGTCCTATTTGTTAGCCGGGCTCGGTGGCTCAGCCTGTAATCCCGCCCCTTTGGGAGGCTGAGGTGAGTGGATGGCCTGAGCCCGCGGGTTCGAGACCCGCCTGGGCAAGCGAGACCTCATCTCTGCAATAAATCAAAAAACCAGCCGGGCGTGGTATCGCATGCCTGTAATTCCGGCTACTCGGAAGGCTGAGGCGGAAGGATGGCCGAGCCCAGCAGGAGAGGCTGCGGTGACTGGGAGCGGCCACTGCACTCCAGTCTGGGCGACCGAGTGAGACTCCAACGCAAAAAAAAAAAAAAAAAAAAAAAAAAAGTCCTATTTGTGAAAATAAATAAATAAATAAATAAAAACTAAAAAAAAAATTGAAACCAACTGTCTGAAATACACACTTTTGTAACATTATAAATGATACATTTATTACCATATTCTGGAAACCTGATCTAATGTAAATGTGCAAAGTTTACAAAATAAATTGGGAGTGAAATAATGTCTGAAAGGAAGGTTGAAGTTCAGAATGTATAACATAAATTTTACAGTAAATAGGATATTCAATCAAATTGTACAGCTTCTAACACCTGAAACATTCAAAGTTAGCCTACTGTCAGCATTGTTTGAGTGCATAAAACGTTTCTTTTCTTTTTTTTTATTGTAAGGATGTGGGACACTATTCAGGATTAGGTATATAAGTGGTCATCGCACAGGTGAGTCTTAGGCTTTCCATTGGTCCTCACTTCACTTGGTTGGGGATCAGGTACACGTATTGAAGTGTTGTACCTCCTTCCTTCTCTGTGTTGTATCCTGCCTCTGCTAATCATTTTCATGTAGTTTTATGATAAAATTTGAGAAGTCTGCTTATGAGTGAGAACATGTGCTACTCAGTTCTTTGTTTCTGTGATAGATCACTGAATTTAATAGACTATAAATCCATCCAAGTTGCTGCAAAGTTCATCATTTTGTCCCTCTTTATGGCTGAATAATATTTCATCATGCATAAGTACCACATTTTTAAAATCCAGTCAATTTTCGATGGGCAGCACAGTTGGTTCCATGTTTTTGCTGTTGTGAATAGTGCTGCAATACACATGTGTATGCAGGTATCTTTTTGTAGAAATATTTTAGTTTATCTGGCTATATTCCCAAGAGGGGAATTGCTGGGTCGTGTGGAAGGATAATTATTGATCTTTCAGGAATCACCACATAGTTTTCCACAGTGGTTGTACTAATTTACACTCTCCTCAGCAGTGTTGAAGCATTCCCCTTCCCCACATCCTCTCCAGCATCCGTTTTTTTTGTTATTGGTGGTGATGCTGTTATTAATGATGGCCACCCTGACTGGAGTTAGGTGGTATCACAGTATGGTTTTGACTTGCATTTCTTTGCTGATTAGTGAGGCTGAGTATTTTTTAATGTATCTTTTGGTTGCTCGTATGTCTTCTTCTGAGAAGTTTCTACTCATATATTTTGTCCATTTTTTAATTGACCTATTTGTCTCTTTCCTTTGTGCACATTTGAATTCAAATTAATAACTTTATTTCTATAGATAGATAATTTATATCCAAATTGTATAATGTTTGCAGTGGAGTTAAAGGGAGAACAGATTTTTTTATATACTTCTTAAAATTGTTAAAGTAAATTTAAAATTACAAAATAATCATACAGTGATAGGCTTGGGAGCAGGCAGATACATATTTGAAGAAAAACCTATTTTGTAATATCTTACAGTCATCAAAGAAATCTTAGAAATGGCAACAAACAATATTTTATTATTATTACAAATTCTTCAAAAGTCTTTTCTGATAGGCTCTTTAGGGCATGTTTTTAATAATGATAGGATTACTTACAGATATTTTCTACATTTTGACATGTAAATAACATTAGTCTTCCATTTCAATTAAATCAAAACAACATTAAGTGACTTACATATGGAAAAAATAAACAAAGCAAAACAACAACAAAAAAACAAACAAAACAAGACCTATCTTGACTTGTCTGTTGCAATTAGAAGACTAAATGAAGATGGAAATAAAAGAGCTTTGCTAAATTACACTCTTCTCTTAACATTACTGACTTGTCTTTTTTTTAATTGATCTTGCCAATAAATTATTCATTCTTGCTTTTAAAAATAAATTGAAGAAGACAACATCAACTTCCTCAATGCATTTACTCTTGGTGGTTTATTGGTTTAATGCTTGTAGCAAGCCTTCTCTTTTATAACAAGGTTTGTTTGTTTGTTTGTTTATTGCAGTTTTCTTGTGTATGTGAACTGTTCTATTTGACCAAATGCTGAGGCACAAATAAAGTGAGCATCAAGTGGAATCTACTGCCTGGCAAGGCAGCAAATGATACATCAAATACAGCAGGATGGCCAGGCAGCATGGTGCATGCCTGTAATCTCAACAGTTTGGAAATCTAAGGTGAGAGGATAGCCTGAGCCCAGCAAGTTGGGACCATCCTGTGCAATGTAGTAAGAACTCATCTCTACAATAAATCCAAAAGTTATCTGGGCATTGTAACGTGCACCTGTAGTCCCTACTACCTGGAAGGCTGAGGCAGAAAGATCTCCTGAGCCTAGCAGAGGCCGCGGTGACTATGAGCATGTCACTGCACTCTAGTCTGGGCTAAAGTCAGACTCTAACTCAAAGGGGCAAAAAAAGAATAATAATTAAAAAAATACAGCAGGTCAGGCCCTACCTGAGGAAGGACAATTTCAGAATAACTTTTAAAAATCAAATCAGAAAAAATAATGTCGATTATGAAGGCTTTATTTCCATAGGTATATGTGAGGTAGAACAGGTCCTGTGAAGACAATTGATTTACTACAAGTATCATACTTGTAGTAAAAAATACTACACGATATCCAAAGGAGAAATGACTGGCCAGTTTAAACAAGATTTGGCCAGTCAGTCCAACATAGGTTGGTACAGTTCAACTCTGGGCAGATTGATTGTTTAATCCTAAGTGCTTTTTGATTTATAGTGGCTGTTTTGACCCAGAAAGTCTGTGTGGGTCTAGAGGGTATACTTTAGTCTAAAGAGTAGTCATACCATAACTGTTTTCTATTGATTCTAACTAGTTTTTAAAACTACTAACACAATTTGCTAGTTTGTTTGTCTTATTGTAATTGCTATTTAATTTTTTCTAGCCTACATATTCAAGATTCTGTAAATTAGAAACTTTATGAAGTCCAGGTTTTCTTAAATAAAATAATCTATCTGCTCTGATTGAGCTGATTAATGGGAATTAAATTAAATTAGGAGCACTGAAAGAGTGTTATTTGCATCTTCATATTAAACAAGTTTACTTCAAAGTTGAATGTCTTTAATCAAGAAAAACAAGAGTGCTTTAAACTGAAAAATATTAGAATCAAAACGACCATGAAACTTTTACAATTACTAGGGCATAAAATATTTGGGTATCAGCAGTCACAAACCAAGAGATTGCTGTTTCAAAGGGATATTGAAATAAATCCATTCACTTTTCCCAAATATAGATAAATATTACTGTAAGGAAATAGAAACAATACCATACCATAATTTAAAAATTAGATGTAATTTATTTATAATACAAATAAGTTAGTGATGCTGTAATACAAATATTCCTGAGTGTCTATGGGACCATTCAAAATGGTTAACATAAGTGAGATTTTTAAAACTCAGATATTACAAAAGTAAATAAGAGAAGATCTTGTTCTCTATACTACTAAATTTATTAGTATTATAGAAATACCACTAAAGAAATAAGTAAATCAAAATTAAAGCATGTTAAAACCCAATCTTATTAAGTTGAACAAAACATTCTAAAATTTTCAAAAGATAGTACAAAAAAATTTGAGTAAGTTAAATGAGTTTTACTGCATATAATTACCTAAGGGATTTGGCAAATTCAGTGCACCTAGAGAAATTTACACCACTAAATATTTATTTATATTGGTAAACAATAATGGAAATGATTGATTAAGTCTTTAAACCAAGATGTTATAAAAAAAAAGAATACAAATCAAAGCAAACATTAATTACAAAACTTTAAAATAAGTGGTGCTAATGGATATTGGTTTATTGAAATAAAAAGTACAAAATAGAAGTTAAAATTTATTTCAATTCTATTTTTATATACTATGGTAGTAATGAGCAAGTGGAAATTTGCATGAAAAAGTTACCAATTATAGTAACAAACAAGTATGCAATATTTAGGAATCAATGGAACTAAAAATGCACAAAACCAATACACTAAGTGTTGGAGAATATTGCTAAGAGAAATTGTAGAACAGAGGTCAAATGTCTTAATATTTTGGGGATCAGTTCTCCACAAATTGGTACACAGGATTCAAAGGAATTCCAATTTAACAGTAGGCATATTTTTGGACAAATTTATAATTAATTGTCTAAGTAGTTGGAAATGCAAAAGATTTACTCAAAACAATTTTTAAAAAGATAGTTGTGTGTGGTGGTTCATGCGTGTAATCCCAGCATTTTGGAAAGCAAATGAGAGAGGACTGCCTGAGGCCACAGTTTCAAAATCTGCCTAGGCAACTAGGCAAGAGCTCATCTTTACAATAAAGCAAAAAATTAGCCGGATGTGGTGGTGTGTACCAGTAGTTCCAACTACTCAGAAGGCTGAAGTGGAAGGATTGTTTGAGCCCAGCGGGTTGAGGCTGCAGTAGCCATGATGTGACCATGCCACTGTACTTCAACCTGGACAACACAGTGAGATTCCTACTCAAAAAATAATAAAGAAAAATAACTACATTGACTTCAAGTTATTATATAACAATAATAAGACAGTGGTAGGGATTTATATAAATTAAACAAGTAATATCAATGGAACACAGCATATGATCTAGAAATAGACCTCCACATTTACAAATTACTGAATTTTGAAGAAAAGGAAAAACATGTCAATGAAGGAAGGAAGTCTTTTCTATACAAATGATGCTGGAAAATTATAAGTCCATTTTCAGAAGAAGAATATTGGTCCATATTTTGCAAAACATAAAAAAGTTACTCAAAAGTAATTATTGATATAAATATATAACCTAAAACTATAAAATTTCTAGAGGAAAGTTTATGATAAAATCATTTTTAAATTTTATTTGGAAGTATTTAATAACTGTAACACAAAACTGTATTTATAAAATAAAAAATAAGTTGATATTTTTAAAATTGAGAATTTCTGCTCTTGAAATACATTGTAGAGAGTAAAAAGACCATAAGACACTATATATATTAGGAAAAATATTTTCTATCACATATCTGGTCAAATATTTGTATCCAAAATGCATATTCTTTTAAATTTAATAATAAAAATGAAGAACCTAATTTAAAGTGTACA